TTTGCATCTTTTGCTGTGAAGTACAGCCAGACTTTTGACCGCTTCGCCTTGGGCATTTTTAATCTGTAGCTCTGCATAAAAGAACGTACGTACCTGGCCCCGCCTACTATCCTCGGAAATGTAAAATGATTGGCTAGAAGTGTATCACAGCTCAGGAAAAAAAAGCACCGAAATAAAGCACCGAAATGTGCGCTGCTTTTCGGTCTGGTTACTACCGTTTATGTCAGAACCGGTGCCATCATGGCACCGGACACCGGTACCCATCCCTACTCATGAGCTACAGCCACCCCCTTAAATTTAATCCTGTAACACATGAAGATGTGCAGAATAAGTGTGATTTCCACGTGTGTTATCTCAGCAGCAGGCGAAGCTGCTGTTGTACAAGATATGAAGTGTAGATGTTGTTGTTCCACTCTGTGTGTTTCTATGTTGTTGATATTTAGTGTTTTACTCTCTAAAGTCAGACAGTAAATAAAATGACAGTTACAGTTCAGCACGCAGTGATTTCACACACAGGATTAGTGACTGACTGAGTTTCTGACTCACAACACAAACACTAAGTTTGTGTTGTGAGTCAGTAACAGTCTAACAACAATGTTCAGCTGCTCTGATGGAAGACGGCTTTAAAATGGACTTTCATTATATACAGGACACACATGGACAAGATGGAGTCCATCAGTAATGTGTGGTTGTTTATGCAGCTCAGATCAAATCATCACTAAATGTTTCCTTCTTATTGTTCCAGTGTTGTGCCTCTGAGGTCACGTCTTCATGAAGAAACCAGGTTCTTTGTGAATCTGTTCTGTGCAGCAGCAGAGAGAGAACAGCAGAGAGGAGAGAAGATACTGGAGCTGTTATCATCAGTGTGCAGATACAAAAATAGTCCTCTTAAAGAGAATTGGTGTGACTTCTTCATGGATCTGTACTCTCATGTGAAGGACTATGAGACTAAAACAGGCTTGAGTGTCCTTCCATCATTACAGTCAGTTTTCCAGTCAGCTCCTGCAGTCTGGTCCATAAACCTCTCAGAGAGAAAGACCTCCATCCTCCTGGAAGTGCTGAAACTCCAACCAGAGAAGAAACAAGTGGAGCTGACAGGCTGCTCACATGAAGAGAGTGAAGTGAGGAGTTTCCTGCAATGTCTGCCTTATATCTCACAGCTCAGGTAAATGAATTTTTCTTCATACAATTCACACTGCATCAGAACAGATACCTATTTAAACAATAAAAAGTTATGACAGTTTTTCTTTTTCGTCATTTTCATCCATTCATTTGCTTCAAATTTTCCCTGAAATGAGTCATGCTACACCTTCATAGTACAAACGTTTCTTGAATCATCACTCTTGGAAGCTTTTTATTCAACTCTTTTCATTTGTAGCAAACATACAAATCACACGTGTGACATAACACTGTATAAAACTGTATTCAAAGAATCATTCAGTTATTTTTATTTATAGCAGACTTTCTTCCATATAAAGTAGAGGAGTGTTTTATGGAATCACTCAGTGTTGAAGACAAACAAAACATGTAATCACATTATAATTTGGATTACTAAAACAAATCTCCACACATCTAAATATGTAAAATAGTGTGTTATTAAAGAGAGTTTTGCAGACCTTATGAAGCTCTACTGCCTGGCTGATGGAAAGCAAGAATGGACCTAACAAGAGAGCAGTCAGGTGAAACAATAGAAAGGTTCATACAGCTCCTTCAAGGACGAACACCACCATTGAGTTTGGCAAAATGTTGGTTGTTCCCGATCAGCTGTGATTAAAATTTAGAGCACATAAAGCCAATAATATTATAAAAGGAAAACGTAAGGGCAGATCACAGATGTGGATGGTCGAAGCAACAGAACAGGAAAAAATATTTTGTCTTGAAAAAATAAATTTCACAGCAAAATCCTTTACAGTATCCATTTTTATCTCATATCAATGACCAAGGCAGGTGTTAATCATTACCCAAACAGTTTATGCACAGGTGTACACTGCATATTAGAATATTTTTCTCATTGCCTGGTTAGAAATTAGGTTTGCAATAGCAAAATAATTTTACAGGATTTTGTCACAGAGTAATCATTGTTAAAAAATTTCCTTCAGGAAAAGCGCATCAACTCAGGAAAGGTATATAAAACTTATATCAACTTCAGAAATTTTACCAGGGGCTATAAACGTAATTGAAGTCTAATAAATTCACCAAGTGTTGAATTCATGAGTTGACAGATTATTAAATTATAATTTGTCATCAGTATTACAGTTGTGGTCAGAAGTTTACAGACACTCAACATGTGTATCAATGAACCTTTATGCTGTCCACTTTCAAACTGTTTTTGTCGGAGCTTTTTCTGCAGTTTAATATTTTAAATAGGTGGATGAATGCAGAAAGATGAAAGCAAATAAGTACAAAGAAATAACAGACATCTGGAGACTCAAAATGAAGACTCAGAGATTGTAATCAGTGCAGAAAAGCAACTTTTTATTTTACTAGTATCTCTCCGATGGGTGAGTTCACCATTGTAGACCACGGGATCTTTTCAGAGATGGGTGCTGTATCACATTACCTAATCATAGAGTATGATATAGTTGTGTGACTCGCCCATTGGATTTTGTCAAGACTTAAAATTAGGGATGTGGCCTCTCTCACTGACAGGTAGCAGCTGGAATGGTTGTACAAGATGACTTTAATGATTAAAAAAGACTCTTCCAAAAATATCTCTTTCCATTGTGGCCAAGTAGCCCAGTCTTAGTCTCATCTGACAATAAAAACCTTTCTCCAGAAAATGTGGGCAGCAGCAACATTCAGTTGATCAGTCAAAATTGAAGGTGTCAGTTTTGGAGCTGTGACTTGGGGGGTTCCTGGATTGTTCCTGAACATCTTACCCAATTTCCACCCATATGACAGTGACAGTTAATGCAATGATGTGAATAACAGGATTTTAACAAACAAATAGCATCAACTTTTTACATAACTTTGGTGCTTTGAAATTGAAATATATATAAATCATACTCAACATGTTGTTGCACTAACAAACTCTGTTTTAATAGATGAGCAACTAAAAACTGTTAAACAGAAGATTTTGTATTTAGCTTTTTGAGTTTACCATAATGTGTGAATACATCAAATAACAGGGTGTTTATTACTTTTTGTCTCCACCTGCAGATGTAGTGTCGTCATATTATTACTATTTTTTTACATTTTGAAAACTATAAGTGCTTTTTGGAATAATTCATCTGCTCAAAGTTAAGAAAAAAAAAATGCTATACAGAAAGGTTGATTCTGAATCAGAATGAACCTTTTGGGATCTCCTTACCTGGATGATTGAGCATGCATCGAGACAACACAAGGAGGATGTTGTATGGTTACACATGTGTCATCTAAACAGCAAAGTGAAGATGTTGTTGTTCCACTAATAGGTTTCGAATTAAGTTTAATTATATGCAGAACACACATGGACCATCAATGTGTGGTTGGCAGCTGTAATCAAATCATCACTAAATCTTTTCTTCTTTTTGTTCCAGTTTCTTCACTCTGTGGGCAGATGAAGCAGCCAAATTCTTTGGGAATCTGTTTTGTGCCGCAACAGAAAGAGAACAGCAGACAGGAGAGAAGATACTGGAGTTGTTATCATCAGTGTGCAGATATCAAACATTCCCTTTTATTGACAGAGACATAGATGCTCAATATAAATGCAATTTCCTGCTGGATCTGTGCTCCCATGTGAAGGACTATGAGTCTAAAACAGGCTTGAGTGTCCTTCCATCCTTACAGTCAGTTTTCCAGTCAGCTCCTGCAGTCTGGTTCATAAACCTCTCAGAGAGAAAGACCTCCATCCTCCTGGAAATTCTTAAAGTCCAATCAGGGAAAAAACAGTTGAAGCTGAGAGGCTGCCCACATGAAGAGAGTGAAGTGAGGAATTTTCTTCAGTGTCTGCCTTATATCTCACAGCTCAGGTAAATAGAAACAATACAGTACTTAGTCAGTAGTGTCTTGGAAATAATCAACTTTTCATTAACAGTGTAAAAATGTAGACAAATGACATGTATTGGTCAAGTAATTATTTCAACTTATCTATTGCTATGTGAAAACAGCCTGGTTTGATAGAACTTATTTTTACTCTAATCTAAAAAAAAGTTTTCACCTGGACCCCAAATCAGCTGTTTTGTATTTGTTTTTTTAAAGTTCACAGAAATTAGTTAATAATTTATTTTTAAAAACCTCAGATAATACAATATAGGGGAGGGGGGGTAGGTGTTTGCATGAACATTTAGCTAGTAAAAACATGGGTGATTTGGCTAGTGTTGCAGCAGGTGAGTAATTGATGAATGAACAACAGGGAAAAGTACAGGAACAAAGCTCAGCCTCTGAAAACACACAGACAGATGCACACAGGAGGAGGGATTGAGGCAAATGGGAAATTCACATTTCTACTGAAGCCATTCAGAATTTTGATTAAACGTTAATATGAAACATGGACAAGTCAAAGTTAGTTACAAACTACACCTTTGTACATGCTGTATACATGTTTAGTCCTCACCCGTTCACTGAATGATCATGGCTGTATTTCCCTGAGTAAGCAGAACTTCAAATTTAACATTTAGTAAGTGAGGAACTGTACATTTTCATGTATCTACTGTGCTTCTTAAGTCATGAGGATCAACATGCTGGAAAAAATAACATGGATCCATGCATGTTTACTTTGATGGCCTATAACTCTAAAAAATAATAATGAAGAGGAAGTTGGGCATTTCTTCATTAAAGTTACTAAAGAGCAAAAAATTCCCCTGATTAATAGAGACCCTGATTTTTCATGGAATGACAACAAAACTAATTGCTAGTTTTATCAGCTTGTTCATCAATGAGTGAAACACAAAATGTGGTTTGTGGTAATGTGAGTAGGTCTGCCTGTGTTTTCTGATTTCATCTCCACTGTGTTTCAGCTGTGATCCAGACTTCTTCCAGAGTGTGTGTACATCCATGTCTGTAAGATCCAGAGAGGAGGCCCAGCAGCTGGAGTCTCTGCTGCAGCTCCTGGGCTTCCAGCTGCTGTTAACAGGAGAGTTACACAGGAAAAGCTGCTGGTCTGTGGGGAGAGTTCTCAGACTGTGTGGCTCTAAAGTGGATCTCATCCTCACACCCAGCAAGATGTCTGCCAGAGGAGCTGCTCTCCTCTTTAGACACACAACACAACTACACAGTCTGAGGCAGGAAGTGAAATCATGACTCTCTTGTTCTTCTAACACCATTTATCTGCTGTCCACTTTGAATCTTTGGTTCTTGGTGTTCATCATTTCTGCTCTTTTGTCTCTTTGATCTTCAGGCTTTCCATCGACATGTCCTTGCTCCTGTTTCAGTGGGTAAGAAGAGGCAGAGTGGTCTGTCCACTGGCTGTGGAAGAGCTTTCTCTTGTGCCTAAGAAAGCTCGACCATCACAGAGAGTGATGTTGAGGGCTGTCAGTAGTTTGGCTTCCCTGCTGAGACACTGGACAGTCGGACGGTTAGACCTGACTGAGAGCTGCATCCCTGCTCAGGGTCTCATTACTCTGCTGCTCCATGATGGTCCTCTAACAGTCAAGTAAATGTCTTCCTGAACATCACAGGCCAAATAAAATGTAGAGTTTTACTTTAAAGCTTATTTTATATTTATGATCTCGGCAGACTGAGTGAAGAGAGCTTCCAGCAGCTTCTGTGTCTCCTCCATGAAATCCAGGACAAGGACTTGACGTTGTCCTTCTTCAGTAAGGTTGGTGGAGACCTGACCTCCTGCTGTCTGAACTGGGAGCTTCTTCACTATCTGCTGCAGCAGGCGTCAGCTCAGACCATCACTGTGAACCTGAGGAAGAACCTCTTCTTACAGGAGGAAACCACACGTCTGCTTCCCTTTCTGGACAGGATTGTGTTTAAAAGGTGCTGAATGTAGTTTGATCTTTTACCAAACACAGTTTCTGCTGTTTAATCAGGAGGATTTGAAATGCTGTCTCATCTTTAACCAGAAGTTTATGGATCCTTTAAACAAAGTTGGAAATAAACTGTTTGTTTTCAGGCCCAGTCCCAGCTTTGTGATGAGCTCCATCAGAGAGCTCTACAGAGCTCATGACAGTCACGCTGTGCCCAGTTTACTGAGGTCACTTGGTCATGTGATCAACCTGAGCAGCAGAGAGCTGGACTCAGTGGACTGTGCTGCTCTGATCTTCATCCTCAAACACGGAGACAGAGTCAAACTGAACCTCCTGTGGACCTCCATACCAGCAGAGGGAGCAGAGTCCATCCTCTTCATGCTGGACAACGTTTCTCATCTCAGGTCAGATATTAGAGCTTGTTCCCAAACTTTTTTTGCTAGGCCCCCTGCCCCCCCACCCGCGCGCGCACAAACCCACCCTCCAACCACACACACCCATATTTTGCTCCATTGCGGTTTATTTCACACCTCAAACATTTAGTAAACAATTAAGCAAATACAAGTAATCTGCAATAAATTACAGGTAGTAAGAAAATAAACTACTAACTCTTTTACGCTACGTCCACACCTACACGGGTATTTTTGAAAACGCAGCTGTTTCGTCCACACGTAAACGGCGTTACGAATCACCTAAAACTGAGATTTTATAAAACTCCTTTTTTGCGTTTACGTGTGGACGAGGAATACAGAGCTCGTCACGTAATGTCGAAGGTATCTGCCTTTTTTTCACGTCACGCTGTGCGCCACGTTATTGTTTACATGAGATGAATTGCAGATAGAGACAAAATACTGTTAATCTTACCATCTGCAGGTTTTACACGCTTACATACACACGCGCAGTTACTGTCCCTCCATTTACAAAGGCAGAGGCGTCACGGTGTGATTATTTTACGTGTAGTTGTTTTTTTCCTGTGTAATAATATTCAACATTGCTATCAATACATTTTTCGAAAAATGCCACTCTGTGCCAAATGGGTTTAAAAACATAAACAGCTGTTGGATACTGTTTGTCCGTGATTTGAACCGGGGGAACAAATCATGGCAGGATCAGTCTGATATTATTTGTATCCCATGGTAACTTTACTGTATAAAGAGCTAACATCTCCAAAATGTCAGGAGTAGTTAGTCATTACAAGAAGTGTTTGTGAACTAAAAATCAAGAATGTGGGATACTGTTTGTCCGTGATTTGAAGAGCCCAGCGCTGCTCCCGACGAAGGAAAAACAAATTCTGCAGGGGAGACCTACCTCGGCACTTGTGCAGGTGAAGCCAAAGGGAAGATATGCTTCACCATATTTTCTAGTCTTTGGTTTAGAATGAAGTTGGTTTGGAAACATATCAGCTATGCTTCATCTCCTGCTTTGCGTTTGTGTGGGCGCCCTCTGCTAGCAGTGTCCAAGCGTTTTCTTTTTCTTTTTTCCTTTTCATAGGGGGGCGGGCCCCACACTTTGGAAAGCTCTGCTGTAAACTATCCCAGCCACTTGTGCCTCTCAGTGTACGCTGTCCCTGCTTGCATCTTAAATCCTGCTACTATGTGCACGATTGTCCCTGGGTCACCTTTACAAAGCTTGGGACCTGTTGACTGTGAAAGACTTGGGATGGATGGATGGATGGATGGATGATGGCTGGATGGATGGATGGATGGATGGATGGATGGATGGATGGATGGATGGATGGATGGACCTTTGTATATTGTGATGAGTTTTCATGTCCTGACATCAGTGGCATTTATCTTTTGCTGTGACCACCTTATTATTCCAGCTAGGTGTCTGACAGCCAGGAGGTGATATGTATTGATAGCTTGGATTTTATTCCTATCATTCAATTGGCTTTTCCACCTCTGTCTTACCTTCTGGGAGTATTTGGCGATGGATACATCTTTAGCATGGTTCATGTTGGCACTTGAAATACTCAGATACTTGTAGCTGTCCTGTATATTTGCTATTCTGCCTTCTGGTAGCACCACCCGATCAGTCTGGATCACCTTCCCTCTCTTTGCAAGCATTTGGCCACACTTACAGTCAGAATGACGTCCCGATTTCCTCACTATAGTGATAGTTGATTTCTGGCATACAGCTTCATGTCATCCATGTATAGGTTGTGGCTCCAACGCCACCTAAGGGAATTTCACCCCTAGAAAATATAAAGAGAGCATGTCTTTATACTTACTAAAAAAAAATTGCACAGGTTTGAAATTATAATACTGAGGCTACTTTCAGACTACTTTATTAAATACATTGGTTAAAAGACAAAAAAAAGAAGAATTAAGCAATTGTAGCCCAGAGCACAATGAAAGTTGGCATGGCCTACACTGTAGTTCTGCTTCCAGCCTTCTTCTCCAACTGCGACAACCCGAGTGATACTGAGATTACTGTGGCAGTGGCATATATCAGCTCACTGGTTTAAGTTATGATGGTTGGGGATCGTGCTTAGGGCAGTGTTCACATCTGCAAGCATGTCCTTTCAGATGTTTCTGTATACTATGCCAGCCACTTGGTTATGGCGCTCCATTTTGCATCCTGCTGTTAAGTTCTGGGTTTTCTCAGGGGCATATTTCTACAGCCTGCAGCTGGGGTCTTGCCTGGTGTGGTAGACCATGTCCTTGTGCTGCCATGGTTAGTGCCTCTGTGCTGTCTTTCAGTCCAGATTTGTTCAGCCATTGGCTGGATTTCTCGATATCAGCCACTTCCTCTTTGAATCTTTGTTTTTTCACCCTGGACTGTTGTTCTGACACTCACTAGTCCTTGGCATTGTTCCTTTTGCTTATCATACAGTCTCAGGGTACTGGATTTTGGGGTGAAACATTTCACACATAGCAAGGGGATTTCTTTTCTTAATGACAGTGTTTTCTATCTCCTCCTTTGGCCAGCTAATATCACAGCAGGATACATATAGGTGGTGATTGCCCCAATTCTGTTGTTCCAATTCAGCTGACTCTTCACGACTTGCCTTACTTTCTGAGGTTATGTTGCAGACGCATCTTTCCCAATGGCCTCTTCATGGTTCCCATTTGTTCAAAGGTACTTGTACCTGTCCTCAATGCTATTCTTCACTCATGACAAACAGCTTGATGTCCCTGATGTAGAGCAGGTGGCAATGGTTTATACAGTAGTGGGGACTCGCTCCTTGGTAAATCCTGTACTTTATGGTGACTTGTGCAATTGGCTTAAGGTTGGGCTCTAAGAGTTTCCATATGCCCATTATCTTCCCAGTGAAAGGGAGTTTTAACATTCTTACACTATTACCAAGTTTGACAAATAAGCGCACATTATCATGAAGGCAAAAATGGAAATGGACAATAAATTCCCTTTAAATTAATTTCCTGTGTTTTATTTTTAGTTTGCGATATTTGGATTTGAAGCTGATGTTAGTAACTGATCAGCTGAGGTAAACTGAGTAGTCATGAATTGGTTCATGTTTGCCTGTATTTTTCCTTGCAGTGTTGACAGGAATCAGCTGCTGAGGTTCATCCACTGCTGTGCTGCCTGTGACGTCCAGCAGGAGGCAGCGTCAGGCCTGCTGAGGACTCTGCAGCACAGCTTGGATCTGTCCTGCTCCTCCTGTGTGGAGCTACCAGAGGAGCATCAGCCTGAGCCTCTGAGTCTGACTGCTGATGACTGCAGGGCCGTCTCCACCATCCTGACACACAGCAGCCAGGACACACAGCTCGACCTGCGAGACTGTGAGGTGGAGGACAGCGTGCTGGACCTGCTGTTTCCTGTCCTCCACAGGGTCCGCCTCAGGTGGGAAAGACCACCGAAGAGTCTGAACCAGAGAGAACCTTGTTCACGCTGGTGTTGATGCATCCTGACAGTTTCTCTGTTTGTCCTGTTTAGAGTCAGTAAAACTGTCCTCCTCCAGCTGCTGTCTCTGGTTCCTGTGAACAGTGAGAGGGACACAGTGAGGCGGGCGGTGTCCCTGTGTAGAGCCCTGGGTGGAGAGCTGGATCTCAGTCACAGCACGCTGGATCAGAGGGCCTGTGGGTCTTTGGTCCAGATGCTGGACTCGTGTGAAGGGCTGACAGAGCTGGACCTCAGTCACTGTCAGCTCACTGACCAGCTGCTGCTCCCTCTCATCACACATCTGCACAAAGTCCAAGTCCTGGAGTGAGTGTCACACACTGATCCTTCTCTGGGAGGCACCAATAACCATCAGCCTGTTCACACACACTACAATAATATGATGTGCAGCGATGACTTAGAGCCTCTTGTTGTGTTTGTGTTACAGTCTGAGTCACAATCAGATCACTGATGCTTCGACTGATGTGTTACTGCAGCTGCTCTCCATCAACCCCTCCATCGACTGTGTGCGGTGAGCCAAAATGAATCAGTCTCCATCAGTGAAGGAGTTTCTCCTCAGACTCTCAGAGGAATCATTCACAGTCTGAGCTCACATGGATTCATGTTGTTCTGAGTGAATGAGTGACGTCTGCTCTCTCTGCTTTGGTCTCTTTCTAGACTCTACAGCAACAACATCGTGCACAGAGCAGCCTTCAAGGAACACAAGCAGTGTGAGATATGAAGGAATCATCGTCAAGTAGTTGTTGGTTTTTTCTCTTCTCGTCATCATTAAATGAAAACATTGGAGGAAGTATGAACACTGGTGCTGTGTTCATGGAGTCAGCAATGTACGACACAGTAACATTAGAGTGCTGTGTTAATTTTTTTCTTTTTTCTATGATCATTAAGAAGACAGTTTATATGGAGGCTCAGGATATATCTCATCCTGATGTATCTTTTGTTTCTCAGCTGCTACAGATTTTTCTTTGATGGAGCTCAATTGTCTAATCGAGCTCCATTATAGTAAGTAAGTAAAGTAAAGTTACTAAGTGCTTTTCACAGACAAGCGGTCACAAAGCACTGTTGACAAAAGGCTAAAATAAACAAGAACGTTAGGTGCCAAAATAGACGATACAAAACATAATAATAAAATACAGTTAAGTTAACAGGTACTTTTAAAATAAAATAAATAAATCAATTAAAAAAATCTCGGCAGAAAGCCTGATTAAACAGAAACGTTTTTAACTGCGTTTTAAAACAATCCAGAGTCAACAAAATGTAGTTGTGGTGGTAGACTGTTCCACAGCCTTGGTGCCACAGACTGAAGCCTCCGTCCCTTTTTGTCTTTAGACGTGTTTGTGGAACAACTAACAAATTCTGAGTCTTTGAATGGAGACAACGAGCAGCAGTGTATTTAGTAAGAAGTAGACATAATCTGGGGCCAGGCCATTTAGTGCTCTGTATGTTAAAACAAGAATTTTGAAACAAATTCTAAAATCTATTGGGAGCCAATGTAAAGAGTACAAAATAGGAGTAATGTGAACATGCTTACTAGAACGTGTTAGTAGTCTGGCCGCAGAACTTTGTGTAGCTTGGGAGTCAAGAAATAGATGATTTGTTCAAGTTGGTAAAAAGGACATAACAATAATATAAACACGATGACACAAATGCATGAACAAATTTTTCCAGTTCAGCTGTGGAGACCTTATGTCGCAATTTAGAAATGTTCCTAAAATAAAAGAAAAATTCATGATTTTACATTCGAGCCAAGGCCCAGAGGAGAATCAAATATTTCTCCAAGATTCTGAATGTCAGATTAAAAGAAGATTAGATTACCAGTAGAGCTGTTTCTTCAACAGAGGAGTTACCTCAGCAAAATAGGATGGAACACAAACTTGCCTCAGCGACACGTTGATGATAGATTGCAGTGTGGGACCAACACTGGTTAGAGTCCCAGATGGGACAGAGGGAGGTAGTATATCTAGGCAACATTTACTTTGGGTTCTGTTTACATTTTGAGTATTGGTTATATTTACTTCTTTGTGTTTCAGTTAAGTACAGCCTCACCTGTGCCATTTGTATCATGTTGTCAAGTTTTTATCTTTGGCATCTGATCCTTCATGTAGTTACTTCCTGTTTTATTTTGATATTGATTTGTCTCTGGTATAATGTATTAATGTTTGCTTATGCATCTCATTATCCTGATTGATTTCAGCTGTGTTTTGTTCCAAAGCTGTTTTACGCTCCTTTAATTTGCCTATTTTTATATTTACCTGTTAAACCTGAGAGTCCTGCAGGCAGCTACCTGGGACCTGTTTTCAGCTGAACCTTGACAGATGACCATCCTGATGTTTACACATCTGAAACTTCTGTAATAATGGTGATTCAGTTATTTTATTTTTTGTTAGACTATTGAGACAAAAAAAGAGGCCAACTTGTTTTTGTTTTTTTTAATCAATGCAGTGAGTCGGCCATATTTATTCATTGTACTTTTGTGATAACTGTACTTATTCTACTCTGCATTTTTCAGTCAGGACAGAGTAGAATTACTTCTCAGAGGAACGATGCAATAAGTGAGCAATCAGGAGAAAACTGTTTAGTACTTTGACATAACTGGAACAAATGGGCATAAACATGTTAACATATATCGGTTTTCATATTTTATATTACATGACATGGGTGAAAGTGGTTATTTTTTCTGTGACAGTTTTCCTCATTAATGGAACATGTTAACAAAACCTTCTACCATATTAGTTTACAGCTGCAAATGGACTCAGGGAATAAATTATAAAAGGCCAAATGTCTGTAACTGATGATTCCGTCTCAGTGATTTATAGTTGTAGTAAATCATGTTCATGTTGCAGGATCACAGTCCGCTTCAGGTGCTGATGAATGTTTCTGCAGATAAATTAAGATTTAAGACCAGGTTGACTTTAAAAATTAAGATTGGAGCATTAAGATTTAAAATTGTTTGGCCTTACATACTAAAGAGCACCAACAGGACGGACCCTAATTTACCTCACCAGTATCCAGATGAACAAGTAATAAAGCAAATTCAGCTCCCTTGTACAGTTATGTTTTTTCACTCTATTACTTCAGCCTGATTTAAGTGTGACTGATCTTCCTCCTATACATCAAAATATGTTTTTTGTTCTATATTTTATAAATTTTATAGAATATTTGTTTACAATGATTTTTTTCTGTCACACTGATGGCATGTATCCAACACAGCATGTTTCATGGAAGAATTAAAAGCTCAAACATTCTGGAAAATTATTCAAAGTACTGAAGAGAAACAAACCTGATTTCATAGCAGAAATGCAAATTGGATTGCATCGTGTGAGAACAAACAACTCAAAAAAGAAAAAGAAAATTCAAAAGACAAGTCATTTCAATGAGCTCCGCAAAACACATGTACTTTTATGAGTTGATTTCAGCCCCTAAACAGTGACCAGAGGAAAGAATTGTCAGAATAATGTGCACACATTTTAGAGAGGTTTTCCTGTAGGTACTCTGTACAAACACTAACACCAGACACTGACAGCAAAGCGTGCAGCTAGAAGCAAAGCTATGACATGGCTATCCGAGACTTATGAATTTGTGATCGCACAGCATCTCACATTCTCTCTCACACACACACACACACACAAGCAGAAAGTGCCGAAATAATATATATTAATAAAATCAATAGCATTATTCCAGCTTTTAATCAAGACCATGGGCAGCAGTGGTCAGGGGAATGGACACGTTTAAGCTAATGCTGTCCACTCAAACCAAGTAACACAAAGATGCTGTAACATCTATAAGTTGCGAACAAAAGAGAGAAACCCAGTAACCATAGGCCCTCACAGATTGGATGAACCAAACAGACACTCTCATTCAATAAAGGGTTGAATGAGAAACAACAGTTCCTAATGAATCAGCTTCTAGATATACATTTTCATATATAGTGCACGCACATACAATGAGTGCATATTTTCAAGATTCAAATGTGTCAATATGTTAATATGAAAACATTTTAACTGCTGGGCTGCCAGCAAAATAACCCTTTAATATGTTGCCTGTATATGTTGATAAAGCGTTGTCCTTCCTGACATCTACTAAAAATGTAAAAAAACAAAATTTGGCTTTTATTGAGCTGCAGCTACAGTTCATATTGTTCAGTTCTGATGAATTTCTATTGGAGGGTGTCATAGTTTGCAGTGAAAGCTTAAATATCCAATAAGGCTCTTGGTATTATCCAACCATCAGAGCAACCCTCTTCTGATCTGCAGTCAGCTGTCTGGTTGGAGAAACTAAGTCATACTTATGCGTATCTCAGCCTTTGGGATTATCATTAAATCAATTCTTACTCTGGATCAGCTGGGATGAGTGATGGATGGAGGGAATTTTATTGCAATAACATCAAAGAGATAATGTGAGTTTGAGGATTGATGGCACTGCAGACCAAATCCACCAAATCTACCTTTGAGTACACCGTAAAATTAGTTCCCACAACTAAAAAACAAAACACTATGCAAACTCAGTGTCTCAAAAAAATGAGTAAAGATTACTTAAGATGACTACGTTAGGACAACTTATTCATTGCAACTATACAGTACAAAGAATAACTTGATGTTTCTGACTGCAATACTAATTGTTTACAAACTGAAAAACATTTCAAGTTCTACTAAATTAAAAAGCAATTTGAGGTAACTTACTATTTTTTAATCATATTATATTTTGTCATCCTTGAAATTTCTAATACAGCACTTATATTAACATAACACTGTTTGCGTGATTCATAAAGAACAGTTAACAACACTTCTTGTAATAACTTTGAGTGGAAAAGGACAGAAAAAGAACATGTGGATCCTGGAATAATTGCAGCTTCCATCATTAATGGACTGAAGAGGAAGAAGTTCCCAAGGAATCATTTAGAAGAGTTTAGAACATCAACTGATTGAATCCATGAATCTGGACACATGTTTCTGAGTGAAAGAGACAGACGTGTACAGACTGAACTACCTGTTCAACCGTCAGAGAGTTTCTCTAACAGGAGGACATTCTTTACACGCAACTCAAACTTGTTGTCTTTCACAGACAACAAGTTTCCAACCCATCTTAACCTGTTCATCCTTCAGTCAGTGTCACTGGCTGTCATTGTGACTGTGGACATACAGCATGAGAAACACACACATTTAACATGGCTGACACTTTATTAGGTACAAAGTGGCAACTTTCTTATGTACATGTCACGGGGTGAAACGGGACAAGTTATTTGGAGTTTTTACTGTGCATGTTTTGCGATGTTTTATCTGTTTAATATTTTAATATTGTATATTGGGTTTGTTTGTATGAGTTCTATTGCATGTTTTTATCTTATTTAATTGAACAACTGTCCTGTAAAGACTCCACCCCTATCTGATTACTAACTTGATTTCACCTGAGAGGTACCAGAGAGGCCAATAAGAGGGCTGGGTAGACGACAGAAAGGAGCGCTTTTTGAGGACGAGTGAGGAAGGAAAGCTTTGCTTTGAGGAGTTGCGCTCGAAGGCTAGAGGCTGAGCGCCTCGGCTTCGGGCTGGAGGCTCGAGGCTCGAAGCTCGAAGTGGAAGGGACGAAAGAGAGTGACCGGAGTGACTGAGAAGCCGAGCCAGAGATATGGAGAGAAGGCTTGGGCTGTAGAGCTGTGATTGACGGCTGCGCTTGAAGGCTAGAGGCTGAGGGCCTCGGCTTCGGGCTGGAGTTGACTTTGAGAAGAGGACCAGCGCACAGAGGGCCAGCGGGGAGAGCGGAGACAGTACCAGCGGAAGGCACGAGACGGCTGTGCCGATTTGCAGTTTTGAAGAAGCGGCGGGCGGAGTTGAGAGCTCTGCCCACCCGGGGTAAGTCTCTGACTTATCCCTTTTTATGAAATAAAACTGTCTAAAAGAAGAATAGTGACTGCCGCTCCTCCCTTTCTCCAGCATATCGGGATGCGGAAAGGAAGGAGAGCACTCCGCTGGGTTTCCCTTTTTATACTACTTCGCTGGATTTCTTAGCTCCCTGGGACTTTTAGGTCGTGGCGCAGGCCACTGGACTTTTAATGTTGTGTTTTATTGATTTTTATTGTGTTACCCCTTGGCCAAGGTTGTTTTAATTCATTTTACATTTTTAACTATTTAAATATAATAAATTATATTTTAATTATACAGTTTTTAATATGTGCTTTCCCTTGGCGGCTCCACTGCTCAATCCGGTTGGAGGAAGATTTTCTTCCTTCGCACAAAACCCACCGTGGAAATAAAACCAGCCTTCCGCCTCCGTTACATACAGTACACCTCTGGCCAGAGGCAGGAAGTAACGAAGTATTTTGTTAATGGACTTAAGTAGAGTATTTACTTCTCTGGCAGCGTTTTACTTTTACTCCAAACATTTTTAAACAAATCTCTGTACTTTCTACTCATATTTTGAGAACAGGCTTGTTAGTTTTGGTTTAACACATTTGCGTAGAGTTATTTCATGTCACTGCGAGCCTTCACACATCAAATCAATTTGAGGCTAGACATACTGTGAAACCTGCTGCAAAACAAACTAAACTAGACTAATTGCATTATTTAAAGGTTGTTTAATATTCTACAGTATGTTTAACATGTTGATCCTGAACACAGGCCATTGCTATAAGTGTTAGGATGCCTGGGTCGTTGACCCAGGGTTTCTGAGTTTATGATATTATTTATACTTTCTAGTTTTGGTTTCTTTGAGTTCTGTCTTATGGTTTGTCTCTGTCTTCTTTAGTTGCTCTGTCTCCCCTATCACCTGCATCCTCTTGACTAGTTCGCGTCTCTGTGTATCCTTAGTTCCTATATCCCCGTGTCCAGTCAGTGTCTGTCTGCCCTGGTCCCACGTCTCTGTTCCCTCTGTAGTGCCTGCATGTGAGTCTGTGTTATGTGTTTCCTGTTTTACTTTGAAGGTCTCTGTCTTATCTCAGTGTGTTCAGTTTACGCTTCTTTGGTCTCGTCAGTTCTGATTTGCCCCAGCTGTGTTTCCCTCCTGTTACTCATTCCCTGATTGCTCCCTCTGTGTATTTAAGCCCTGTGTTTCTGTGTCCGTGTCGCGATCTACAGTTTTCCTAGCTGTGTGTTCTGTCATTCCTCCAGGTTAAGTTTGTTTTGAGTTTTTAAGTTCTGTTATATTTTTGAGTACCTAATTAAAGCCTTTTTGAGTTCACGACTGTCTCCGGAGTCTGCACCTTGGGTCCTATTCCTGTCTGCACACAGCCACACCTAACAATAAGTCAGTGTTAGTCAGATTGGTTCTTTATCTTTTTGGTGACCTCACCCCAGTGCATCACTGACTGAATTCCACCCTCATACCAACTTTATACCATCTAGAAAACAGACGGCATATACAGTGTACTGTCAGTGTAGAGGATGGAAAACAGCCAGGACAAGTCAACATCTGCTCAGATCTGGTTGAATTCAGTTGTGTACATCCACATCCCCTTTAAAGAAAGATCCTGTTAGTGAAAACAGGCTCCAGGATGAGCATCTACCATGATTGTTTGCAGGGTGAGAGGAAAGAGAGGAGCACAGACACAAGAACAACACACAAACCAAGGAGAGAGAAAACAAAAGTTAAGGATATGCAGTAGTGACATATAAAAGATGGGAGTGGAGAAGAAAGCAGAGCATCATGGGAAGTCCAGGTTTTCTTTGTGTTAGCTGATTTGACAAAACCTAAAATCCCAGTCAGAGATGAGTATCATCACTGGAATTATCATTTCTCTGTTAAACCACGCTTTCTGCTTCAGGACCTACACATGCTCACATGACAAGGAGCACTTTAAACATCATTTCACAGGTGTTAGTGCGCATGTGTGTGATGTAGATGTGTGGGTTTGAGCTCTCCACCTCAGCTTTCCATAAAACACAAGATACCATGATAAAACCATTCAGGAGCTGATATAATCGACTCGTACCTTTGGCTTAATCATTGCCCTGCATATCTGAAATGTCACCGCCGAAGAAAGCCTCAAATCTAGGCAAGAATAAGACCATCGACGGATACATTAGCAACGCTAATGTTAGCAAGCTTGATGCTAATGA